TCCCTTTCAAGTTTTCCAGCTTGGTAGAAATGTAAATACATTAGGTTTTGTCTATGAGTGCCGCTCAGGCAGGAGAGATGGCCTGTGTTTGACCCGCAGTACCACCAGCTAAACTGTATTTTTGGACACTCACAGGGAAAGGTCAGTGACAAATTATGGTATTCTTCTGTGCTGGGACAAAGTACCTTTGGCCTCTAACTTTTCTAATACCCTCCTTCTGGCTTTAGGCTTCAAGTTGTTATTGCTAATGGTTCACTTGCTCCTGCTTGTGACTTGGTACCTTTGCTCTAAACAGGTGGGTCCTAGGGAAGGACTCCTGGCATGTACTACAGACAGGAGAGGAATGAAAAACTAGAGAGAAAGAAAAATGTGAAGTGTGGTCACTGCCTTTTCAAACTAGGGAAGGCTGGAAAGCAGGGTGGGGTTTAATTTATACCTCTTTAAAATTGCATAAGTTTGGAACTTGATTATTGTGTGATAAACCTAATGTTTTGTGAGTTGCAGATTTTTTTTCTTTCTTTGATTTTAAGCTGAATACAAAGAATTTTGATAATTTTTCACTGAAATTTTAGTAGTATATACATTTTTATCAATTATTTCTGGTGACAGGATTCCCGTTGAGCAAGTAATTTGGGCTAATATTAGTAATTTTTTATGTCTGTTTTTCTTAAAAAATACTCAGAATTTTAGTCAAATATAGTGATTTGTATAAAACTTGCCAGCAAAATAAATAAATAAATAAAAGTCTAGCCCATATGCTGCAAATAAAAATGTTGGCTGCATTTTGCCTTCAGGATGCATGAGCAATTTGGCTACAGCAGACTTTCTGGCCATCACAAACTGATGTTTATGGGAAGTGTACAAGTACTCCTTTCTCTATCAGGGCCAAGGCAGGAGCTGTGTCATGCTCTGGCCAGAGTCTCCAAGCTGAAGTTATCAGAGTCGGAGCTGCTGAGCAAGCCAACAAGACAGCATTGTTTTATATCATGATTGTGACCACCTCCAGTCCCGCTCCCTTGCCGTTTTGAGTTCTTGCCTAGCTTCCCACAGTGGCAAGAAAGTCAACGTGAAACACACCGTGTATCTACAGTATCTACAGATGGAGGACACTGATAAAGATTTGGGAAAATGTGTGTGTGTGTGTGTGTGTGTGTGTGTGTGTGTGTGTGTGTTTTATAGGCAGCAGCTAAGGTGCCCTGAAAGCGTAGTGCAGAGGGGAGCAAACACAAAGGGACAACGGAAAGAAAAAGGAGACGTGATCACAGAAATGTCCGGAACCAGTTGTTTCTGACGGCATGCAGGAAACATGGACATAATAAATGGCTGAGAACTTGTCCTCACTCCTGGTTATCAACCACCTTTTCTGTGGAAATAGGATCCCACATATGCTTGCAGAACATATGGAATTGGGAAGAACTGTGGTGGGGATATAGAGGAGGGGCTGACCTTGACCATTACATCTGTATACAGATTCTCAGGGAATTCACTGTTCTCGCATTGAGCACGAGAAGGCCTTAAAGGCAGAGAATAAACACATATGGGTGAACATTATGATCCACCTTTGAGCTTCACCTCAGGCTGTCAGCGCTTTGGGTCTGCATTCTCAAAGGCTGTTGTTTTGACTCAATATGCCACCTCAAATCTGTCTCAGATTCAATAACATGAAAAATAACTATAAGAAAACCTATCCAGTCACATCTTTGCCAGCAGGTCCCACTGTGAATGGACTCAGACCAGCAGTAGGCTTTTACCAAGCAGTTGGTTGTATTGGCTTAAATAGAGGCTAGGGTTGGAAATAAGAAAGGGTTGTTAAAAGTGAGTACTTCTTAGCCAGCGGAAACAGGAGGGCTGTGACTGAAGACAAACTGGGCCACATAGAGAGAGTTCCTATTTTTAAAGTAATTTTTATTAATAAACACAATTTTGGCTTGTATATTTTCTTTCATTCATCTTTCTTTTTCTCTTTCAAAGTGGAAATATTTTCATACACTGTCACTAATATCAAACTGCTATTGCAATTTTAAGCCAGAATGTTTAGAAAGTATGGGACAGAATTTGGATACTAGATTAAAGAATGAAAATGAACACCTTGGGTCTAAGGGGACAGGAAAGGACTCTGGTGATCTCAGACAGCAGACTCAGCTATCTTGTCCTGCTCTTTTAGCCCACTCTGGGAAACTGGATTTCACACTGGAACACAAGCACTTAAGCACGAAGCATCGGCTAGGCTGTGGACTGGAGCCGCCTGGACTGTATGTATTAGTCAGTTTCGGGCAATTAGAGATGCTCGGAAAAGTTCTGTTATGTTCCAACAGTCAGCTGGAATTGTTGATAATAAGAAATATCTTCTTGAGGAAAGGAAGTAAAGGATTCTATTCTTCATGTATCTCCTAAGCATCCAAATTTCATAATATATATTTGTATAAGTACATTTATGCAGGTGTATACAACAAATTAAGAATACACTAATACATTTTTATTATACCTCTCTCTAATATATATATATATATATATATATATATATATATATATATAATGCTTTTAGACTTACTAAGGAAGGTAATGCTCAAATTCCACAACTCAAGCTTAGCGCGCTACTATCTCGTATGTAGGGACTCCTGTGCGCACCACTATGTCTGGCTGCTGCTACTGCTGCTGCTGCTGCTCATTGTCCTCCTCTTCCTGTTCTTTCTCCTCATCCACCCCACCCTTTGGTGCAGGGTCTTACTCGATTATCCAGGCTAATCTGAAGTTCACTATGTCATCACAGCTGTGCTTAAACTCTGAACCCGTCCGTCTCAACCTCCCAAGTGCTAGAAGAAAGGCATGTGCCACCAAACCCCTTTCTCTTTTCTCTTATGTGTTTTCTTTTATTTCCTTTTTTAAATTTTTTTATGCTACTTTGAGGAGGACATTGCAATTGCAAAATAACTAATATACTTTCAAATCTTCATGGACCTAGTGATTAAATTCTTTGAGTCAAGCCAAGGGGCGTTTGAACGTTGACTTTTAAATTTTAGGAATTTAGAGGATTAAGTAGAGAATAATATTATATTCCTGTAGCATTGCCAAGAGACTGCAGGAAGAAAAGCACTAAAATGTTCCATTTTAAAATTTATCCATAAATGTAAAAATTTTAAATCCTTTCCCACTAGTATTAAATTTTGCTCTAGTTACTTTTGACAGACTATTATTAGCTATTTTGATGAGAAATATATCTAATTAAAAAGTCATTTCTTTTTCTTTTTGGTACTGGGGTTGGAACCCAGGGCCCCATGCAGGTGAGTGCTCTATCACAGAGATACATTCCCAACCATAAAGCATTATTTTTTAACTTACCAGACAACAAAGATGACCTCCCTCAATCAGATCAACAATTTGTCATTTCCACTACAAAAACTAAACATGAATCAAATGTAATTATAAATTTGGCTTTATACAATTCATCTATTTCTTAGGAAAATGGTTCTTTGGGAAAGTAATGTAATTTATTTATGTTCTATAGTTCTCTGATGAGAGCACTGGGTGATGTTTTTCAGCCTGATAGTTGATCTTTTGGCAGTAACCCCAAGTATATCTTCACCTTTGTATGGGTGATGTAGCCAAAAGCTGCAGGAAGTTCCACGAGGTTGAGAGTTGTGCTCTCCTCAGGATAATGTGAACGGCATGGAAGAGGAAGAGTTCACCTAGAATCATCTGAAGGAGTAAACAGCAAAACAGTGACTAAGTCCAATAAATGCTGTGCTTTGCTTTCCATTGGAGGTAATTTCAGTGCTGTCTGATTTTGGTTAGGAAGATCAAGTGGCTTTTTGCGACCTTCTGCCTCATGTGTACGTCATATCTCATTGCAAACAATGGGGCTTTCTCCTTAGCTAAGGGATGTGTGTAACATGGCCAGAATTCCCAACTGGCAAATATAATCCCCAGTGTGGTTCCTAACGATTCTCAGGGCCTTATTACTTCACTGACTTTCCTGCTCTTGAAAATCCCTTCATGTCATCAATATGGTTCCTGTTTATTTACATAATCTTCAGCATTGATAGAAGCAACTGGTTGGTATCTTTCTAGTGGGATACTGGGGTGCCAGACTGAAAGTCAGCTGATGTTCTTGAGATCAGGGTCCACCACTTACCAGTGACCTGTGCGGAACTCGACAAAGAACAGGCTTCTCTTGTCCCTTACTGGTAATTCTGAAGTCTGTTGAGAAGGAACTGTGAAATAGTCTACAATTCCTAAGCCATTCCCCCCCACCATCTTTCTAATTTCAAGAGAAAATAAATTGTTACATTTTCATGGCCAGCTTGAGAGTAAGAATATTAACAAGAGAAAACAGGAACAGACACTGGGCACATAGTCTACCATCAGGTCTAATCTTATCATGAGAGTGCTTGATCACATCTTGTTTCAGAGCAGCTGATTGTGTCGGACTGAGGGACTTTGTAGTGAAATGTTTAGAGAATAATTAAGTCAGTTTCAGGGACCCACTTGGTATATGTATGGACCTACATATATAACGCATTTCTTCCTTTCTTTTCTTTTGTCTTCTGCAGTGGTGGGGAATAAAGAGGGTATCGTGCATGCCAGGCAGGCACTTTACCACTGATCTCCATCCCAACACTCAATGCAGGTTTATTTCTATGCTCTTATCTTTGAGATAAAAACATCTTGTGGCAATTTATGTTGGTTAAGAAAGCCAGCAGAAAGAGCTTCACTATTTGAGGGATCACGCTATTTTGAGACCATTCAAATAGTCTCTTTCATTGGCACATTTGTTCCTCATCACTGAGCTAGCTAGTGGTAAAACTCTTGGAAGCACAACCTTCTGGGAGGTTTCCATTCAGACAGGCTTTCTTACACTTGGGTGGCATTTTCCAAGGGATACAAAAGAGGTATTTGAAGTCGTAAGACTGTTAGTTTTACTGTTGATTAATAATATAAAACAGCATTTAAAAAATACTGAAACAGATATATTATGGAATAAGTTGCAGCATGGACATGAACTTTAATGTAGAACATAAAAGACCTCAGAAGAACTCTGCACTTGATAGGTAGATCCAGGTCTTTCCAGACAGACACGGTCTCCTTTGAGTTAGGCGCCCTTTGCTGAAGTGTAGAAGGGCTTCACAGGTGTATTCTGGGAGATTCCTTTGTGTGAAATAGCAAAGTCAAAGATCTTCCGGAGGGAACTTTTCTTTTGTTTCTCCCAGCTGAAGACTTCTGGTTCAGAGGAATTAGGAGAACTCAAGGGATGAGACTTCCAAGGGATGATTTTTTTAAAAAATTCATTAAGACTTAAAAACAAAACAGACAGAGATCTTCCTATGAACCCTTTAGGATGACAGGGAAAGACTCTTTAGGAAAACAGCAGAGACTTTTAGACCGGGTAAGGGTCCTGATCTTAAGCAGATGGAACAGGGTTCTCAGTAGAAACCCTGACAGACACACGGAGAGTCGGACACTGGTCATATGGCAGGGCAATGAGTTCACTTATGAAGCCAGATGAAGAAAAAACAAACAGATTCATCGATAGGAACCATTAGAAAAGAACTGCTTCATGAGGCTGTATGAAGAAGACGATCTTTGTAGCTTGTTTGCTGTTCATCTAACAATAGATATACCTGCTTGACTTTGAAAAACTATATATAGAAAATTCAAATACTCTAGATTTACAAAAAACTGATCCACATGTAGTCCTTAGACATGAAAAGAAGTATGCATAATAAAAATATCATTGAATAATGACTATACACTCTTAAAGGTTATGTTTTGAAACAAACATGAAAACCATTAAGAAATTCAAAACACAGTGGGATCAAAGAAATGTTTTCAATTAGTTTTGACATCAGGACTGTCTGGATGTTAACAAAAATCAAAACTCGTTTTCTTATCTGAGATTTAATGACCAGAAGCTATTAATTTAGAAATATTAAAGACTTATATTAGATTTTAAATATTTGGGCTATTTTTTTCCTGAATGGTTTTCATTTTAAAAAAAGAACAAAATTTAGAGTTTTTTCCTTAAACAATAAGCTTTGTTTTTAGTTTGTCCTGCTAGCCTCCCCACTTCCCTGACCTGTATGCATGCATAAGCACACATGAGCACACATGCACAGAATGCATTTTGCTGAGGCAAGATCAGCACATTGCCAGGAAATAAGAAATCATTGATTTGAAATCTTAAGGGGACCTAGAAATAATTTGGTTTTTGTTTTTATTTGGGTACAGATGATATCAGCAGATAGTGTAGAGTTATTCTGGACACTGCATGGCTGGCAGTTGCTTCTCAGGAACTAGAACCTTTTGATTTCCACAAAGCAAGGTGAGTGTCCAATGCCTTTGCATCCAATGTGCTCCGTAGGAAAATGCCAGAAATGACTTTTAGCAAAGAAAGTCCTGACCTTTTCTAGGGAGTTCTGGGGCGGGAAACCTGAGAGAGCCTGTCTAGTTGTAGCAATTACTGAGAGTGCTCTAGCAAGCCTGCAAGAACAACATCCTTCTGTGACTGGTAGTGTCAGCCTAGACCTGTATCCTATACTGATGAGTATTTAGTGGTCCATGTCCAGACCTGGGCTCCTACATGATGACTCGTTTTGGGGCCAGCTCTGTCGATTAAGGGAGCTCTACTTTTAGTTTGTCAAGAATCATTTTATGGAATTTCCATTTTCACAAATCTTAACTTGTATGTTGGACACTAGAGGAAAACACAGCCATGTTTGCAGTGCCAAAAGAATTTTTTAAAAGAAATTTGTTTTAAAGATGATTAAATTCCAAATGTGTAATATCAATTTGAATTTTTAAAAAATTTTATAATAGAATCTTCTATCCATTTTGAAGTTTATAAAAACTGAATTTCTGTAATAGTCTGTGACCTGGTATTTAGTTTATAGCTAAATTGTTCAAGCTTAAATTCCAAATACTTAATATCTGGTCATTAAATCTTACTACTTTTCATGGTTTATACTTAACAGCACAGATGCAACAACTAAGCAAAAGCAAAACGGAAAAAAATGCCCTCTGAATTTTATTCCAAATAAATTAAAATACATATAAACATATCCTCTGAATTATCTCCCAAATAAATAAAAATACTGTATTCCTTTAAACAAACATAAGAGCTTTATAATCCAAAGCAAGATGCACAAAGTGTGTTAAGAAGAGGTCGCAGATTTGCAACAGGAAGTCTGGACAGCTCCTCCAGGCGGTGGCTGGGAAGGAAATACCTGCCTCTCAGAAACTCGTGTCCCTATACTCTTGACACTTTTGCATCCAGGCCTATTTACATAGTTATGCATTTTGCAAGCTCAAAGCACCTTACGCCCCATAAGCATGGACACGTGCAATGGCATTTCATCCTTTCATGTGCACGTCCTAAAATTCATGGTTATGTAAAAGTTAGAGCCGGAAAATATGCCTACAGCTCGAAATGAAAGGATCAAAAATGTCAGACATCGCAGAGCACTGGTTCCTAAGAGGGCTCTTTATTAGCTTGCTGTACTGGACTCGGTCCTGTTTGTTACAAAATGCAGTCTTGACTCTTTATTTAAACAGTACTTAAACTAAGCTGTTCATGCCATGCAAAAATAACACTTTATGCACTGTTTTATTTAGGCGAGGGGTTTCCCATATTCTAGTTCATGGCATTATTAATCGCATTAGAAACAAGTTTTTTTTTATATTGCTTTTATAACTAGTCACATGCTGGTTTCACGAGTGGGACAGTAACCCGTGTCTCCTGGGTTGGAATGAATTTCTGGGGCAAACAAGTGGTTCTCCATCTTGTACCCTTCTTGACTACTGTCCTTTTTGACTTCACCCACAGCCTGGTAATTGTCTTGCCTACAGTTGTGGTCTGTGTTCAGAGGGGAGGAGGAGCCCACACAGCCCTCTTCTCTTAATGGGTCTCTGGCATCACCAGGCTCATTTGCTAAGCAGTTGGGACTGGAATCTGTTTGCTTGTCTGGTCTTGACCTTTGGAGGTCCAAGAAGTCTTCGTCTTCTCCAGTATCTATCTCAGTGAAGCTTCTCCTTTCTCTAGGAGAGAAAGTAAACAGTTTTTGCTTGGGAAACCGAGGGGATAGCCCTTTGGAAGGTCCCTGACAGTGTGCGGAAGCATCAGCACCCAGCAAGGGTCTCTCTCCCTGGGGCAGGGATTCTTCTAGAAGGATAGTACTGATGTGCTGAGGGGTCGTGAGTGGAAAGTCAGCTGTGGTTACTGGCAGTGGCCTGGCTGTGCTGGGTGGGGTCTGGGGTGCACTGCCTCTGTTTTCCTGAAAGTTCACTTTGAGGGATCTGGACTTGAGGGGGTTGCTCCCTTTCAGCGAGCTCTTAGGGCTGTCGGTGGCACTGTCAGATTGCAAAGGACCATGTGATGTCCCAGCATCGAGGTTCACAGTTATGTCAATCGGGGCATAATCCAGTGTGGCCTCCCTGGCAGTGTGCCCCTTATCTCTGCTTAGTGTTAGAAATGGAAGCGCCCTGACTCTTTGGTGCTCCTCTGTCCCTGGGAGGTCAGTGGGGAACTTCATCTGCAAGTGAGAGGCAGAGGGGGGTGGCAGGGGCGACCTCTCAGTCTCAGTGAAGTCGGTGGCACAGCTGGTGAAGCTGTCGATGCTGGAGGTGCTCTTCATGTCCACGATGACCTCGGTCTGTGCCACAACCAGCTGCTCCTGTGGGCAGACCACCTCTTCCATTTCTATCTCCTCCTCGTATGCAGATGGCCTCTCGGGCTGTTCTTGGCAGTCCGGGTTTGGGTGGGAATGAGGCTGTGTCTTGGTGATTTCATTGTATAGCATCTCCAGCTTCTGGGCACTCAGATGCTGTGGGCTGGAGGAAGAAGTGTTGTTCAGCTGTTCGTGGGAGTCTTTTTGGCTAACCTCCTGGTACTTATTCTCATAGGACTTATTGGAGCTTGTTTCCGACAGAGCCTTCCTGGCCCACTTCCACCGGCTGGGAGACAGGTGATTATCATCCACGGAGTCCTTGGTATTGGCCGACTCTCCAGCCTTCTCCACCGCCACGTCTATCAGTTCCATACTTCGAGCAAAGGCATCCTTTAAGTTCATGGAAACAATGCTGCCATTCCTTTTGGCTCTTTCAAGAGCCTCTCTCCTTTTAATAGCCTTCTCCTGGCGTTTTTGCTCCTTGTAGAACTCAGAGAAATTATTTACAATGATAGGTATAGGAAGGGCAATAACGAGGACTCCTGCAATACAGCAGAGGCCACCCACAATTTTCCCTAACAGTGTTTTAGGGTAAATGTCACCATAGCCCACAGTGGTCATGGTGATGGTGGCCCACCAAAATGAGGCAGGGATACTGGTGAATTTGGTAGCATCTTCATCTTTCTCAGCAAAAAACACCAAGCTGGAAAATATCATTATCCCCATAGCTAGAAATAATATTAATAAGCCCAACTCATTGTAACTCCGTCTGAGGGTGAAGCCCAGAGACTGCAGTCCAGTCGAGTGTCTGGCGAGTTTCAGGATCCGGAGGATGCGCATGATTCGGAAGATCTGGACCACACGTCTCACGTTCTGGAACTGCAGCACACTTTTGTTGGACTCAGTGAGAAAGATGGTGACATAATACGGTAAGATGGCCAGCAGGTCAATGACATTCAGTGGGCCTTTGAAGAATTTCCATTTGTTTGGTGAGGACAGGAATCGTAAAAGGTACTCCATGGTAAACCAAGCAATGCACACAGCCTCGACGTGTGCCAGCTTGCGGTTGTCACTGGGCTGTCCAAACTCGTCGTTCTCCTGCAGCTCCGGGAGTGTGTTGAGAGACAGAGCGATGGTCGAGAGCACGATGAACAGGATAGACACGATGGCCAGGATCTGGAAAGGAGAAGGAGGCCACATTAGCAAATCCTCTGTTTCCCTGGCAACCACACATGCAATGGTGGTTCTCGAAATGATAGAGAATGATCTTACTATTCCAGAAAGGCTTTATGAAGGTCACTTTACAACCCAGAGTTCTCTAGGAATACAAATTCTTTGAGTTAATGTTGCCCAACAGCCGCAGGCACATTTAGATTTTAGCAATATGACAAAACCTGAGTTCTCCCTACTTGCTGCTCTCTGAGGTACATTTGTGTGGGCTACCACCATTTGGATGAAGACTTCATCTAGTTGGCACACCTTCTTGGAGGTAATAACCTTTTTTCTCTTAGTGAGCTGAACTTTGCTTTTTTAACCACCCGGTTTGTATTCACTTCAGTGAATTCTCTTACATGCTACATAAGCTTGATAGAGAATCTCAAAGCTTTATCCTGCAGGTAGGCACACTAATGCAGACCCCAAATGGGAAGAGGAGAGGCCAGGAAGTACTCCTTGTAAGAACAAATACTTCTCATGTGGTCAGCATTGACTTGAGAAGCAATCAGGAAAGCCTTTGTCTGGAATGTAGATTTTTGGCTAATATCACTTGGGGGAAGTAGATCATGAGCTAACTTCCTTCAGGAAGATAGTTTCATGAAGACGCTGAAGAACAGTCAGATGTTATTACAGGACAGACAGATGACCCAGTCTGATTAAAGGGCAGCAGAAAGGCAAGAAGGAGGACAGCATAGGAAGAAGTGAGAAGAGGATACAGTGACTAAGTTTTGGAGTCTGCAGTCCAAGCTCTGACATTGGCTATGCCAATTACTCTGGGACCTTGGCCAGATTGTTTAACCTTCCTGGGTCTTGGCTTACCAATATGTAGAATGCTTGCAGCAGTCATAGCTACTTCATGGTTTCTGTAACAATTGCATAGTATGCATACATTGCTATGAAGATGAAAGAGATCCAGAATTTCAGTATAGAGACACAAAGGTCAGGAAAGGGAATGTGGGAAATCTGAATCCACACAAAATATAAAAAATGCAAAGGGGAATTTCCTGGTTCTAACTCAGGATTCTGGATTTATAATAATATATAGAGAAGATTGAAGTTAGAGAGCAATGTAGGGTGTCGCTCTTTGTTTAGAAGACTCTGTGCATTTGGAACACACAACTCTTGGAGCAGGAAACTCTCTTTGCCTAGTTTGGGCAGACTTGGTTTGGTCTGACCTTTGTTTATGACTTTGCATGAATAAAAGTCCAGCATGAAGAAGTAATCACCTGATGTCCTCTAAACTTGGCAGCTGTTATTAGTAACATTTTTTTACCTAGCTGTGAGAAAAATAACCAGATAGGGACTGTTTTACATAGAGGCCCAGCATCTAATTGACATTTCAAAGCGCCATGATTAAAGGTCTTGAAGCCATAGCTTATTAGATTGTGAAAACTTAGTTTGTGTTAGGTCTTCTGAGTTCTTTCTCCCCTCTCTCTTTGTACACATGTATACATGTGTGTGTGTGTGTGTGTGTGTGTGTATGGAGGTGTTCATTTGCTAAAGTGTGTGTAGTTGTCAGAGGACAACCTTAGGTGTCCATCCTCACCTTCTGCCTTTCTTGAGATGTGTCTCTTTGTTGTTTTTCTGCTGTGTGCACTAGACCATGTGGCTGAGAGATTCTAGGAGCCTCTGGTCTTTGCTGCCCATTTCCCTGTAGGAGTGCTGGGATGGTAGATGCTTGGGTTGCACACCCAGCTTCACGTGGCTTCTGTGAACTTCTGAGAACTCGGTCCTCATGCTGACATGCCAAACGCTCCTACCCACTGAGCCATCTCCCTAGCCCGCGTTTTCTTTCCTTTATGTATGCAAAGTCCTCTACTTTGAGTTATTCTCTTTTCTCTTCCTTACTCTTATGCTTCATTTATATCTTTTATTGTTTCTCTTCCTGTTCTTCTAGCTCCCATTTTTTCTCTTCACTTGTTATAAAGAAAACCATAAGAGCATAAGGCATTTCAGAATGTCTTATGGATACTAAGTAGCTATGTGGGTCTTCAACTCCCAAAATGCTACTCTGTTAGTAGGGTTTGGCTTTCCCCTAGAATCAGGCTATGTATTGTTTCTTGAGTGTGCTTCAGAATTTCCTATTGAAAAGGTGGAGCAGTTGGGCTGGAGATATGGCTCAGTGGTTAAGGACACTCCTGTTCTTGCCCAGGACCCAAGTTTAGTTCCCAGCTCTCATGGCAGGTGAGTTCACACCTGTCTATAACTACAGTTTCAGTTCCTACTTTAGGTGATCTGACATTCCCATGTGGTTTCTGTGGGAACCCTCACTCCACAGATACACACATGTGCACAAATAAAAATAAATACAGAGGGATGGGTGACGCCAAGGAAACAGTGTCTTCCAACCACAGCAGGACTGACTCACGCATGATCTCACAGAGACTGTAGCAGCGTGCACGGGGCCTGCGTAGGTTCGAGCCATGTGGGGTCCCAGAACTGAGAAGGGGAAGTGGACATGAGCTCCCATTCCTAACCAAGAAGCTATCTCCAAATGGACAACGATTTGCACATGAATAACCCGTCGCACAGAATTGATAAGCCGCACTTAAGGGCCGCCCCATACCCAGCAGTAGGTGGCCAGCACAGCATGAACTCCTTGGTGGTTTTCTAGATTTTTTTTTCCTGGTCTCATATTGGTTTGCTTGGCAAGTTTCATCCCACTGGAATTTTGTTTGTATACTATTATTTCCAGTTTTGCGTTTTTATGTTTATCTGTGTTTCTAGTATCTTTTTTTTTTCTGGTTTGTTTGCTTATTTGTTTTCTAAAGAGAGAGAAAGAAGGGGTGTGATGGAGGAAGGTCATTGGCTAATAAAGGAACTGCCCTGGCCCATTTTATTGGTTAGGACATAGGTAGATGGAGTAAACAGATCAAAATGCTGGGAGGAAGAGGAAGTGAGGTCAGAGACTCCACCGCTCTGCTCCTGGGAGCAGACGCCTGAGAGAGACGCCATGCTCCCGGCTCCTGGGCAGACACACGCCATGAAGCAAGCCGCCAGGTTAGACATGCTGAACCTTTCCCGGTAAGACCGGTGCTCACCGATTATTAGAGATGGGTTGATCGGGATAACAGAATTAGCCAGTAAGGGCTAGGGCTAAAGGGCCAAGCAGTGTTTAAAAGAATACAGTGTCCATGTAATTATTTCGGGGCATAAGCTAGCTGGGCAGGCGGCCGGGGTGTTGGGGACGCAGCCCCGCCGCCGCCCCTATTACTACAGGGGTGGAGTTGGACAGATGGGGGTGGTGAGGAGGAAGAGATGGGGAAGGGGAAACTGTGATCAAAATATACTGTATGAATTTTCAACATAATTAAATGCATTAGTTAAATATATATATACATACATATATATATGTATATATGTATATATATATATATATATATATATATATGGTGAGCCAGTGAATTCCAATAGGACCAGTTGTTTTCATCTACCTTAAGAGACTTATGGAGTATTTTTTTTCTTCTAAAGACAGGATCCTAGTGTGTAGCAGAGGCTGGCCTTGAATTCACTGTATAGCCCAGGCTGGCTTCATACTTCTGAATTTCCTGCCTCTGATTCCCACAGGCATGTGCCACGGCATCCAGCTCTGGACATTTTAATATTGGGATTTTTTTCTATCATTCTTGTATAGGTATCCATATGCTAGATTTTCCACACTGAATCTCTTCCCATGTGCCAGCCCAGGATCTCATACATGCTAGGCATGTATTGTACCAGCCCAGGATCTCATACATGCTAGGCATGTATTGTACCAGCCCAGGATCTCACATGTGCTAGCCATTGTTAGGCTGGGAGCCAGATGAGTCCCCACAGGCCAACCCACAAGGAGCTCTCCACATACACTAGCTTCGTGGACACAACCGGGCAAAGATTGGCAGGTTAATTTCACTCATATGCATACTCATAAAAAACTTTGTTGTCTCTTAACACTTGTGGATGCTTTTACAGGATGGATAGAAGTGTTTCCAGTCTCCAGTGAAACAGCAGATGCGATGGCTCAGACTCATGGAGCTCCTGTCAGAAGCTTACATCTCCTGGACAATGGGACTCATCAAACAACAACCTACCAAGCTCTCCACTGAACTAAGGTTATCTTGGCCCTCGCCTCAGGGCCACCCCATGTTCCCCTACAGGCCTGAGCCGTTTTAAACTGCTTTATGGCAGGCCCTTTCTCCTTAACCATCACCTCCCAGTTCAAACTCCTTCACTGGCGGGGTACTTACCCTACGTCTCCCTTTTAAGGTCCCTTCTCTGTTCACACTCTGACAGTTGTCTCCCTGTCTCCACAACAGGGGACCCTAATGCCCTAAGCCTCCCCCGCTCTTCCCAGGGGACAGAGTACTCCTTAAACAGTTAACTTCTAGGTCTCTCGAGCCTCCATGGACAGGACCTCACACGGTAATCCTCACCACCCCCTCGGCTGCCAAGCTCTTATGACATCCATGCTGGTACCATCTCTCCAGGCTCAAGCGGGCACCTGCTCAGGACACTTGATCCGTCCAGCAGACAGGAACTTCTACCTTCCGGTTTTCCAGGATGCTGCAATGAAGGGCCTATCTGCTCCTCATTCTGACACACTCATCTTTATCTAACATTTTTCCCCAGACACCTGCCTTCTGATCTCCCCCAAGGAACAGATGCCTGCCTTCTCTAGGATGACAGTTCATGGGATGCCTTTCCAGCCACACCTCTTGCTAAATGTGGACACCTGGCTCTCCCCTTCCCCCACGCCACCCAGTGCCTGCAGGAAGTAACCAGATTTGAGTCTACGCCCTTTTTCCATAGAGAGCCTAAGTGTCATAATTACCATTCCAATTCTCTGTCACCCCTATAGCCAAAGAGTATCGAATGTTAGGCTGGGAGCCTAGGCCCCAGTCCCTGGCATCTATCTCAGCCCCCAGGCCTGGTCTGGAGTTCAAATCCCAGCAGGCCAGTTCTGACCCCTCCCTGGGGGTGGA